TGATGAACGGGATCACATCATTAGGAGAATGATGTGATGGACAAGACCCATCCGTTAGCTTAGCATGTTGATTGTTTAGTTATATTGCTATTGCGTTCATGTATGTCAAATACATATTCCTTTCACTATGAGATCATGCAACCCCCGGATATCAGAGGAATACCTTGTGTGCTATCAAACATCACAACGTAACTGGGTGATTATAAAGATGCTCTACAAGTATCTCTGAAGGTGTCTTGTTGGGTTGGCATGGATCAATATTAGGATTTGTCACTCCGAGTATCGGAGAGGTATCTCTAGGCCCTCTCGGTAATGCACATCACTATAAGCCTTGCAAGCAAAGTGACTAATGAGTTAGTTGCGGGATGATGCATTAAGAAACGAGTAAAGAGACTTGCCAGTGACGAGATTGAACTAGGTATCAGGATACCGACGATCGAATCTCGGGCAAATAACATACCGATGACAAAGGGAATTACATATGTTGTCATAAGGTTCGACCGTTAAAGATCTTCGTAGAATATGTAGGAGCCAATATGGGCATCCAGGTTCCGCTATTGGTTATTGATCGGAGAAGTGTCTCGGCCATGTCTACATAGTTCTCGAACCCGTAGGGTCCGCACGCTTAAACGTTCACTGGCGATATAGTACTATATGAGTTATGTTGGTAACCGAATGTTGTCCGGAATCCCGGATGTGATCACGTACATGACAAGGAGCTCCGGAATGGTCCGGAGGTAAAGATTAATATATGGGATAATAGTGTTTGGTCTCTGGAAGGGTTCCGGAGTTCACCGGAAGGGATTCCGAATGTTTTCCGAAATGGTTGGGTACGAGAACACTTTATTTGAGCCAAAGGGAAAAGCCCACAAGGTTTTTGGAAAGCACAAAAGGTAGTTTTTCGGAGTCCAGGGGCCAGACGCTAAGGTCCCTGGCGTCTGGGTCCAGACGCCGGGAACCCTTGCATCTGGCCTTGGAGTCTGGGAAGGACTCTTGTCTTTCGGGTGAAACCGACTTTGTGGAGGCTTTTACTCCAAGTTTCGACCCCAAGGCTCAACATATAAATAGAGGGACAGGGCTAGCACCAAAGACACATCAAGAATAACCAAGCCGTATGCCGGCAACCCCGTCCCCTCTAGTTTATCCTCCGTCATAGGTTCCGTTGTGCTTGGCGAAGCCCTGCGGAGATTGTTCTTCACCAACACCGTCACCACGCCGTCGTGCTGCCAGAACTCATCTACTACTTCACTAGTCTTGCTGGATCAAGAAGGCGAGGACGTCATCAAGCTGAACGTGTGCTGAACGCGGAGGTGTCGTATGTTCGGTACTTGATCGAGACAGATCGTGAAGGTGTATGACTACATCAATCGCGTTGATAAACGCTTCCACTTTGCGATCTTCTAGGGTATGAAGATGATCTCCCCCTCTCGTTGCTATGCATCTCCTAGATAGATCTTGCGTGATCGTAGAATTTTTTTTGAAATTGCATGCTACGTTCCCCAACATCTTGTCCATGACATCATTCTTCTAATGATATGATCTCGTTCATCAAATGACAACACATGTCTATGGTTAGGAAACTTAACCATCTTTGATTAACGAGCTAGTCTAGTAGAGGCTTACTAGGGACACGGTGTTTTGTCTATGTATCCACACATGTATCAAGTTTCCGGTTAATACAATTCTAGCATGAATAATAAACATTTATCATGATATAAGAAAATATAAAATAACAACTTTATTATTACCTCTAGGGCATATTTCCGTCAATCAGAAGTTACAACTGCTCAAAAATGTCATCATTATGTGAGATCCTTGCTCAAAAATGCCATTAGATATTTCAAAAATGCCATCGTTCCATTATATGTTTGCTCATGCCATTAGACATCGTTATTGTCGGACCAAACCCATTGACCATGTTATATGACAAAAATATCCCTAGATCCACATGTCACTTCTCTCTATCTCACAATGGTAAGTGTGGGTCCCACTTATCAGGAGTAATCAAGCAAATAATTTTACAAAAAAGAACATTGTTGGGATCAAGAGGGACCAACACTTTATTGTAGTGAGATAGAGAGAGAGCTAACACGTTGGTCCATAGGTATTTATGTCACTATAACATGGCAAACGTCATTTGAGGTGACAATAATGGTGTCAAGAGACATTTTTGAGCATGTGCCTACCGAAGCGATGGCATTTGAGGAGTTGAAATTTCTAGTGGCAAAACTGAGTAGTGGGACACAACTAGTGGCATTAATGATAAAAATGACACGCCAAGAGAAGTGTAACACATCTGAATTTATCGTATTCTTTTGGGGGATATGAAACATTATTTGTCATTACATTTGTGGAGTATGGAACATTTATAACGATTTTGCATAACTTTTTCCTGAAATACGTGAGCATGTTTCATACATGGTGAAACACGTTTTGAAAATACGTTTTTCTATACCAAAAAGTCGTCATTAGGGCACGCATATACCCTTGTAGTGCAGGTGCCGCCATCAAAGATAAAATTCAATCCCCGGGCCTAAAGCTTGAACACGAGGGTGACGTCCTAAACTAGGTGGTACATCCGACATAACTCGCTCAGTTCCTAAACAACAACACCCCACCACCGAACTAGGCCACCTACACCCATTTGTCACACTGTGGGCAGGCGGATACCTGGATGCAATGGGGAAGCATGATATTCATCCGCTCGTTCAACACCTTCCAGAAAGCCACCGGGATGACAAGCATTGCCATGCCATCCATGTCCATCTAGACATAAAATCGGCATGGCACTGAATCTCTAGGCTTGTGTCCCGGCTTGGATTGGTAGCCATGGGTGTGTAGAGGCACCGCCCTCGCGTCCCTTGTCCCTGCCACTTTGGGCTTCAGTGCCCAACATGGTTTTCTTTCTTGAGGGTTCCCGGTATCATAATGGAGTTTGTTAGGAGCTCCTATCTACCGCTCTTAGCGGCAAATTGTCGAGGCAGCACGCATGTGCCTCAAATGGGCCGGCCCATTGGCGACTGTCTTCAACGAGCGAACCCGACTAAGCACAGTACCAAGCATTCTAGCGAATGGACCAAGTGCTGTAGCGACCGGATAGAATACTGTAGTGATTTGGGTTGTAGCAAACGGCTATTGTAGCATATGCTTTTTAATTATTTTAATGCAAACAATTTTAAGTTTTTCTAGACATTTTTCAATATGGAGAACTATTTTTGAAATTCAAGTTTTTTTGGAAACACAAACAAATTTTGAAATTTCAAACTTTTTAAGGAAAAATGATTATTTTTAAAATTTCCAAACATTTATTGGAAATCACGAACAATATTAAACTTTTGTTAACATTTTAGGAAAAACTGATTTTTTTTAAAACCAATAACTTTTAAAATAAAATCCAGTTTTTTTAGAAAATGTGATCTATTTTTTCAAACTTTGAACATCTTTTTTTCAAAAACATGAATGATTCTTTTAAATTTCTTCTGAAATTCTTCACATTTTTTGAACATACTTAACATTTTTTGGGAATTTCTGAATTAAGAAAATGGTGTAAGAAATGAAAAGGAAAAAAGTGGGAAAAGAAAATATAACCGGACAAGAAGTAGAAAAACAACAAAAAACAGCTAGGAACCTTCTAGAAGGTTCCCAAGCCCAGTAAAGTTGGCTTGAAACATTCTAGAAGGATCCCAAAACTGGAACCAGAACCTCTCTGTCTACCGCTAGAATGGGCCGGCCCACTTGCTCCCGGGCTAGCGTGCTCATCCTGTGCGAAGCGGCGCCTGTTTGACGAACAAGCTCGGTAAATAGAAAAATTGGAGTTTGGGGTGTGTGGAGTGGCAGGTCTTGGCCGTAGCATAGTACTTCCTCCATTTCACAATGTAGCGCGCCCGCGTTTCCTGAGATCTAAGTTTGACCATAAATTTAATCAACGAGACCGACTGTGGTGGGAGCAAAAATTATATCACAGAATCCATATTTTTGATACAAATTCAGTGGTATGATTTTTGCTCCCGTCGCAGTCGTTCTTGTTGACTAAATTTATGGACAAACTTAGATCTCGAGAAGCGCGGGCGCACTACATTGTGGAATGAAGGGAGTAAGTATGATGCTACTAATTCCGTGCATTCAATTTATTCGGTTTTCATGGTTTGGTTATACTTCTCATGTTTGTATGATATGAAGTTAAATTATTTTGGTATGGTTATGGTATATACCATAACAACAGAGGTTGTTGCGAATTTAAAAATGAATAATAATTTACAAAGTTATGACTCCAAACGCGTACTTTTTTATACAAAACAGTATATAGCTATATAGCATGCACAAATTTATGTCTTGATGGTTATGCACGTGCTTAGCATTTGTTTAAAAGAAACGTAACAATGTTACAAGAAAAATGGACGGGCATAGCAGGAAATCTTACTCTTGAGCAAGAAAAATAACTATTTGTATAGTTATTCATTTCAAGAAATATAAATATATATTTTACTTCAATTTATTCATTAACCGTTCGGTATATACCATAAAAAACAAAATTCAAAATGGCATGAAAAATTCATACCATACCGAACCCAGAAACCAGAAAACCCATATAATTGGTTCGGTTCAGTTTATTTTCGGTATGATTTTTTGCTTCGGTTTTAAAATGCACATAGTGAGATGCTACCGAGCTGGAGAAGAGTGGGCCGAGCTACAATGCCCGGTGAATGTGAGAATACTTGGCTTCCGGCTTGTTAGTTTAAGCTACAACAAGTTTAGGAAACCCGGTGATCAAGGTTCTGAAACATATAGGGTATGACCTCAAGCCAAGTTTCGAAGAGCATCCTTCCTTGCTTTCCTTGCCACCCGTTCATACCAAGCTATAAATCCAGTCTAGAGCACACCAGGGACATGGATGGCTTCGCGCCCATACCATCCCTTCCTTGTCCCAAACCAAAACCCCGGCCTCATAAATCGTGCACATCCAGGCACGATGCACTCCACGTCCAGAGCGCGCCTCCGCCATGGCTTCGACCCTGTCATGCTTTCTTCCTCCTCCTCCTGCCGCGTCGCCGACCCGCCTGCGCCGAAGCGGCGCGAGCGCCGGCAGGCCGGGGCGTCAATGCAGGGCATGGAGCAACGCCGCCGGGACGAGGATGAGGAGGGGCGGCGGCAGGCTGCGCGTGGAGGCTCTGTTCGGCGATGGAGGAGGAGAGGGAGAAGACGCGTTCCGGGCGGTGATGAGGATCGTGAGGCTCAACTCCGCCATCCAGAACCGGAGCGTCCGGGAGCTGCTGGAGCTGGTCGCCGACGAGTGCCGGTATTTCTGCCGCAACATCCCGGCCGTCAGCGTTTCGGAGATGAGCAAGGTACTACTGCTGTATGTCTCTTGCTTGCTGCTGCTACTTTCTTTTTTCTTCTTTTGTTCGTTCTTGTTGCTGACCACGGGACATGCTTTGACAGAGCGTGTTCCTGTTTCTACATGAGATGATGCTCCGGCACCAGGTCTCGTTCGTGCTCAAGCCCGCGGAGAACGGAGCCTTCGACCTGGGTGTCAAGTGGTCGCTAGGTCTGTGTAAAACGCTTGTCAGTTGTAACGTACCAGCCACGGTTTGATCAGCTCATACCGAAATGTTTGGTTACTTGCAGAATGGAAGGGCCAGAAGCTGCCTTGGGACGTAGACTGCACTGTATCCACGACCCACGTCTACACAGGCCTACTGCTCATCAGGTACAATCTCATCCACCCAACATCTGAATTTGGGCCAGCTTTTGGTGTTTACCTAATACTACAATTTAGAGAGGAGAGACACACGAGTTTCAGATCAAAATCACATTGTGTTTTTCTCTCTGTAGTCAAGTGAACAAGGCATGTGGGCCGCTCCTGCAGAGGATTCTACAGATGATTTACCAGGCAAGCATGATACACTCATAGTGAACTAAAAAAAAGTACAGATCCAAGTAAAATGACTCGACTTTTGTTTACCATCGCAGAATCTGGATGCGGTAGTTCTGATCGTGGCAAACAAGTTCCTACCAGACGGCACGCTGGATGAGAAGGAGAGAAGCAACATAATTGTGTGCGCCATCATTGGCCTGGTGGTCATGGTTCTGTTCTACGCCATGTTTAACAACTTGTAGGTCCATTGGGGGCAGCAAGGCCACACCGATGTTTCACAGAATTCTGATGCACAGATACCAGAATCTGTTGTGAAATGGTCAGCGAGCACAATGACTTTACCCCTTCATGTAATACATAATAGCAAAGTAGTAGTTGCTGGTTGCAAAAAGGAAGAAAAACTTCATGAATAAGAATAACCGGGGACACAATTTAGAACGAACGGGAGCAAATTTATCATTTTGATAACGATCTACAACATATGATTAGACATCACCTACAACATCACAATGTTCTGGGTAAAAAGGGGAGAAAGCTGCCTCTTACCATAAGACGCGTCTATGGTTGCTGAATTTACATCAAAGTTAATCAGCTTTTCACTTTCTCTTACTGTTGCTACGAATCCGGACAGCCTACCAGATGTGACCCTTCCGGGAAGACCAAACTAGACAATATGCAGAACTACCATTCCTTTTCATTGCTACTGTAATGAGATTAGCCTACAGCCCTTTCTCGTAAGTAAATGAGTCTGTTGGGTACCAAAGATGCAGTTAATAACTTCGGCGAGTTTCTGCCATTTCATCAGTTCCTACTACCAGGATGTTAGACCAACCACGTTTCAGCTGCAGCCAAAGTTGGGCACTCGGATTAGATATAAGCAAACCAACACCTTTGTGTTAAATGAAACAGAACGAATAGTTAACAGGCCTAGATATTGATATAACAACTAAAAATACCCTTGTACCGGTTTCACACATTTCTATACTTCTACAGTGCAACGCTGGAAAAAAATAGGGACTGGCAATCGGCGGTGCAAGATGGATAAGCACGAGGATATTCTTAGGAGGGAGTCAATAACTAACCAGTTAGATCTTGTTAGGTTGCTTGAAAAGGTGGTCTGACAACAACTCTGAAACAGCCGGAGCAGTTACGCTTTCACATCCGAAGAGATCTTTAAGCTTAGAGTCGCATAATATCATCGTGGGATTTGATGGATCCTGCAACAAAACAAACAAGAATGGAACTGAGGTACTTTAGAGAAGCCTATATTTACATAGGATACCAAGTAGAACAGCAAGATGGTTGCATAAGGAGTTTTTTCTCTTGTCTGCATACAAGAATAGATCCTTGCAAGTAAGGGAACTCACAATATAAGCAGAGGGAATATACAGTCTACCACCGATCAGCCAAATATAAAATATGCCTACCTAAAAAGCCTAGCACTAACTAATGCCTAGATCTAGACATGGCAACATACAGAACTGAATATTCAATCACCCATGGAACATTCCTGATCAAAAAAAGAATAAGGCACATGGCAGGTGGGGTTGGTGGCATGCATTATTTGATACCATAAATAGATAAGTTTGCAAGCTGAGAGCTGTGAATAATTTCATTAACACATTGCATATATGCTGATTTTATAATTCGCAGTGTTTTAGGTGGCAACATCATTACTGTTCAGTTATATATGAAAGCACTCAGGAGAGTGAAAGGGGGACTTGCGGGAATGCTTTCCTTATGCTTTACTCATCGTAAGTCGAAAGAGAACAAATAACAAGCCAACTTGCATATAGAAGCAATCAGCAAAATACTCCCATACAGCTGACAAGGATGTATGTAAGGTCATAGTGGTGTTAAAAAACCTCTCAACCTCATGTACCGGTTCTTTAACTTAAAAAATGAAAAACAAATGGGAGCATACACTAAAATGACTTTTATCCAGAACAACCACCATATGCATCTAACTAAACCCCACATGCTTTGCTTATGCTTCACTCTTTACCATACACTAAAAAAGAATAGACAACCAACCAACTTGTGTATAAAGCAACCTGCAAAATACTGGCTAATCGCTGCTCAAGGCATAAGGGTATAACTGTACACACACCAAAAAGCAGATTTTTTTCTCTCCACGTACCAGCTCTTCAAGTTAAAATAAATAGAGCAACATGGAATATACACTCAACAACCTATATCTACAAACAACCACCATATATGCCTCTAGTTGATCAACCACCAACAACCATGCCAACCAAAACTAAAATCAGAAAGAGAAAACAGAAAGTGAGTGATCTACCAAATACAAATATCCACCATGATGTCCACTCCAGTCAACACAACCTGTCATGAATCAGACAGAAAAAATTCCAGGCCTGATAGCATTTCTCCAGAGCATACAGAGAAAGGAGTACAATTACCAAGTCTACTTAAATATGCTTCCTTGGGAGATAGTAATTCTACGTCTAACATCCTAAAGTTGTACACTTAAATATGCTTTCTTGTGAGATAGTAATTCTAACATTCTAAAATAACCGAGATATGCTTGTACTTTCCAAAGATGCTTACATAACTAAACTGAATGAAGAATCGCTTCCACTTAGCTAGTTCTTCATGGTTGGCCACAATTAATTTGCAATGCCCACTACAAGTTTAATATCACCCAGAGCATTTCACACTAGAACGGTATAGTACATCAAAGTTCTGATAATAATCATCCACTAACCTCTAGATTGTTGCTTTTGATGTGGTCCCAAACACGCTTGACAACCTCGGATTGGGACATCTCTCTTTCTCCGGTTCCAAAAAAGCTAGCAAGAGCATCAGACACGTTAACTGGCAGTTGGTTTGTAGCAACATCTTCGGCAAGAGGAACGGGAACATCTTCCACAGGCTTCAGCTTCTTCATATCTCGATTTGAATCTTCTGCAAGAAGTTGTAGCAAATCTGATTTAAACTAAAGCTTGATTACTGTCTATAACATAACTACTGTTTGTGGGCAAGGACTACTTGTTGGCTCAAGTGGTTTTATATGCTTCGCTAAAAGCTTGTTCATCTTGAACATATCAGTGCAATCAGTCTCAAAAACCAATCGTAGCTCATCATTGCATATGATCTTTCTCTTATTGTTTGGGTCCTGCAAGTCATTCCTGCGAATGTACGCCCAAAGCTGCTTAACGATCTGCAATTGATTCAATTCACAATCTCAGGGCTTCTTCCGTGATGTAATCATATCAAGAGAAGGGAAGACAGTAGAAAGACGGGCCAGTATAATGAAACCTCAGTCCTAGCCATTGTTGGTTCACCAACAATAGCTTGCAGCTCAGGCGAAACACCACAGATTTTGTTTAATCCCCCTGGACCACCTCTTCGTTTTACTCCAGTACTTGCACTGATTCATAAAGATGATCAGAAATAATAAGTTTGATGAACAGACTGGACAACAGTAAAAGATAGCTGACATTCAAGATCAAGAGAAGGGACACATCCGTATCTGCTGTAGTCATAGGGGAAGTACACCTCCAGATTTCACTCAGGAATATTCTTCCACACAGACAGATTTGATGTGTGCTAAATAAATACAACCTCTGTACACTAACATAAGGCATTTTTGCAGTTCAATTTGAACCACAAAAACGTCTTACATCAGATGGAGTATTTGTTTTCCTTTTTTGAGCAACCCGAAGGAGCGCTGCCTCTTCATTTAGTGAAAAGGAGATTATAGTATGTAACCGTGCTAAATATTGTCATCCCGCACACAAATGTAATCAGTTTAACAAAGTTAAGTAAACAGACATTAAGGGTTTCTTTCAAATCCCTTACAGTTGCAGAAAAATAAATGGAGTGCGCACTTGCTAATCCATTTCTTGCACGCAATAAAAGCTCTGGTTGAGGATGCTTTTTAAAGCAACAATTTTGATGGGGATAGCAAAGTCCATTACTACGGGTTCAGAGGCTTCAATTCTGCAGGCCAGGTTGACATAACTACGGCAGTATTCAAAGATTTTCTGAAGTACACAAGAAGTAATCTCGCAAGAGTCCTTGAACATTAAAAATCTAGTACGGGTTGGCATGAACCTACTGAACCGCTCAGAAATCATTTGCTTGCAGTTTACACCACCACCCTAATTACTCACAGTAATCATGATAGAACATCACTGTCCACCAGAAAGAATCAAAAGCACTAGCCCTAACAGCATGAACAAGGATATCATGTGACACAGAAAAAAGTTCAGGCCTTTGTGCATAACCCAGACTCAGTCCACCAAATAAATCTGAGAAAGGAGCTACCAGAACATGTGGTGTAAAGAATTTGGAGCATAGCTTCGCGTAGACGTTAATACATACTAGCACACTAGTAGCCGTACCCAACGCAAACCCTAGAACGAATGTGGAAAAAGATCGTGAGACGAAGGATGCGAAGAATCACCTTTCCTTCTTGGCCCTCGCGGGCGCGGCCCCACGCGGACTCTCGGACACCGGCCCACGCGGACTGGCCGCCGCCGTGGCCGCATTAGCCGCGGCGGCCATCTGCTGCTGGTGCTGCTGCTGCTGCTGCTGGTACTGCTGCAGCTGGACGAGCCTCTGCAGCTGCGCCTCGCCGGGCTGCGCGTAGCGGAACGACCCTGGGGCGTCATACGGCGAGGAGGCCGGCGGGCTGGCGCGGTGCTGCTGCTGCTGGTGGTGGTGCTGCTGCTGGTACTGCTGCGAGGCGGCGTAGTAAGACTGCAGCTGCTGCGGCGTCGGCTGCTGCGAGAAGAAGTGGGGCACGCCGGCGGGGGCGGAGGCGGAGGCCGTGGT